AATAATAAAAAAAAAACATGTTTCATAAACAGTTAAATATCCTTCCCCTTCAAAAACAAAGTAATTCTCACAGGAAGTCAAGAGGTCTTGGTATAATTTGTGTATGTGTGTGGGGAGGAATTCTTTTACAAAATAGGAAAAACCACTACATTCAGATTTCTCCTTTATCCTCATATTATGTAGCCAAATTTAATTTCACATCTTACTTCATCAAATCACTCATTATTTACAGCTTGCCTAGTAATCAGCTATTACTCCAAAAGCACACACATATAGCTTTCATCTGGTATTCCAGGGCTACTCACAGCATCCTAGATTAATACCTGGTTGGTGCAGGTGCCACTTTTGGTTTATCAGTTTCAATGATGGTCTCTGTGATCATGGCAGCTGTGCTGCCTCCAGATACTGCAGAGCTTCCAAATCCCCCAAACCCTGGTGCTTTTTTTCCCTGTCTTTCTGCATCTCTTCGGGCCTGTTGTAATTCCTTTGCTTTACGCCGCATCTCAGCCTTGGCTTCACGTTCTTGAGTCTACAGAAGGAGACAAGCATGGATAAAGCTTTGAGTAGTCTTCATTAGCAAGGAAAAACAGGAAGATCAAATTAGTAAACCCTACAAGAAAGATATACAAACTGGCAGTCCCCAAAATGACCCTATTTACCTCTCTGACTGCTCTGAACACCTTCTCCTCGTGAGAATCCATTTCTGTGAAAGTTCTGATCTGTGCCAGGTTAACATTCTCCCGGTATCCCAGGGCGACAATTTCATCAAAAGCAAAAATCAAATCAAAGCAGTGCTCAGAGATTTCATTCTCCTCTAAGGCTCGGCAATATTCAGGGATCTAATCATGGACAGCAATGGCAAAGAAAGATTCAGAATTTATCAGCAGCTAAGTTTCAAGTATTAGAGTACTACAAATTCCACTAAGTCTGAATACCTTTCTTAGCTCTTTGTAGTCTTTATTTTAAGCAAGATAATTCTTATTGGCATAAAGTTGTGTGTGTGTGAATGTATGTCTGTATCAGTAAACCCTACCCTTTTTATTTAAAAAACATTGCCAAACAGGAGTCAGAACCACTAAGGTCGATTAGAGTAGTTAACTGCTCAAAGAACTGGAAGATGAAAAGGTAGTTTCCATATTCTGTTTTGGGAAATAGGCATACTTCATTTCACTGCACTTCACTTGACTGAGCTTTGCAGGTATTGCATGTTTTTTACAAAGTGAAGGTCCGTGGCAACCTGTGTCAAGCAAGTCCATCGGTGCCATTTTTCCAACAGCATGTGTTCAACTTTGTGTCTGTGTATCACATTCTCGTAATCTACACTGTATTTCAAACTTTTTCATAATGCTCTTGCACACTTAATAGACTACAAAAACAAAACTCATTGCCATTGAGTTGATGCCAACTCACGGCAAACCCATGGGTTTCCAAGGCGGTACATCTTTAAGGAAGTAGACTGCCCCATCTTCCTTCTGCAGAGGAGCTCTGGTGGCGTAGTGCCTATTTGACTGCTAACCAGAAGGCTGGCGGTTCAAACCCACCAGTCACTCCTTGGAAAGAAGACTGGGCAATCTACTTCCATAGAGATACCACCTCAGAAACCCAAGGAGGGGTCACTATGAGTCGGGACTGATTCGATGGCAGTGAGTTTGGTTTTTCTGTTTTTCCTTCTGCAGGGCACCCGGTGTTCAAACCACCAGCCTTCTGGTTAGCACTCAAATGCCTTAGGCAGTACGCCACCAGAGTTCTTTTAATAGACTACAGTGTAGTGTAAATGTAACTTTTACGTGTACTGGGAAACCAAAAAATTCATGTAACTCACTTTATTGTGATATTCACTTTATTGCAGTAATCTAGAATCCAACCTGTAATATCTGCGACATATGCCTGTCCTTATAGCCTAGGAGGCTATGTTTGCTGAATGAATGAGGAGCTGCAGCAATAGCTGCCTGGCACAGGGCAGGGTGAGGGAGAAGCATGCAAACGGATAAGCATCAGCTATTAGGGGAGGGGAGAATTTCACACAAAAAGTCAAAAACAAATAAACAAAAATGGAACCCTCTATTACAGAAGGACTCTTACCACTCTTGAGAAGAGCCTTAGGGTCTCCAGATCTTCTAAGATGTTACTGTTTTTGGTAGTGATCAGGACCATATACAGTTTCTCCATAGGCTGGTAGACATATCTTACACTCTCTGTTTCAACAAATGTGTGCTGTTTTCCAGTGTTCATGAGCTTTGGAAAAGCTGCTAACAAACCCTCAATCCGAGTTCGGGTCATCTCCACAAACTGTCGAGAAACAATAGCCTTTCCTGCTTTAGTACAGACTGCTGCTGCCAACAGTACCTGCCAGGAACACACACACACACACATACATATATATATATATATATATATACACATACATACATACATACACATATACATATATATATGTAAAAGTACAAACTAATTATTTCTTCACATTTGTTTTCTCAACATCCCCAGAAAAAGAGATATTATACTTCTAAAGGAATGACATATTGTTATTCAGTGACATGGATTTATTAGCATGTTGACTTTCAAATTCTACTTCATTGTTTTTAAGTATTTAATTTAGCTAAATTAAGTAAAATAAGACAATTATTTCCATATTTTCAATATCTTACATAAAGAAAAACTTTTTCTCTTTTTGGTGGAAAATAAGTTTTCCCAGAAATGAAAGATGTCATTTTCCCCAAGTCTATATATACATACATTAGGAGCTCACAGGTGGCACAAATGGTTAAGAACTCAACCACTAGTCAAAAGGTTGGCAATTTCAAACCGAACCCAGAGGCACTTTGGAAGGCACGCCTGGCAATCTGCTTCTGAAAGGTCACAGCCTTGAAAATCCTATGGAGTAGTTGTACTCTGTACTCAAGTTGGACTCAACTCCACAGCAACTAACAAAACAACATACATGTATTACTAATGGGTCCCCTTTACCCCTCACCTCCCCCCTCCACGCAGAACTGGGCTGTTCTCTGCTTTGGCAGACCCAAAAAGAATAGCTTAAGCTACTATTTCTTCTTCTTCTTTCTTTTTTTTTTTTTAAAAAGAACAGACATTTCTACAGCCAAAATACAGGTCTGACCAGGCAGATTACAGCCTTATCAGAAGCCCCTGACCTTTCCCTTAACTTTTACCTAGAAAATGGAGCCAATCTATGGAATCTAAACTTATCTTCTGCTCCTTGACTATTAACCTTTCCATCCCACACTTTCCTACCTCCAGACATGCAAACAATCCATAAAATCAAAAACCTAAATGATCCAGGGCTGCACATAGGTTTTGACACTGGGCATTGGATCAACACCCAATGATCTTCTTTCAGAGTCTGGTACTTCATTAAACAAAACAATCAAGCATCAAAAGAAGCAGGGCGAACCTCAAATGCCATTAGTTGGGCAATAAGGAAATTAAGTACAGTGTTAACAGTCTCTTCAGGGCAGGCACTCAAGAGTTCACATGACAAGTAACAAAAAGACTATTTACACATTTTGGAAACCACAACGCTAAAATATAAACTCTGAAATATCAACCACCTGCTGGTCAGGCTTCCTTGGCTTTATAGAAACAATGCTACCTGTCCCTCCACTGGTGAGCAGCTTAAAGAAAACAAAGTTAGTCAATTTGAATAAATATCCTTATACTTACCCCTGAAACCACTGTTCTATGATAATATTCAAACTAAAATTATTCCCTTAAGTCTTCTTAAAACCAAACAACACTTTTGCTTAACTAGTAAAGAATGTATGCTTCAAGCATTGTGCTCTTTCAGGATCTACCAATGTACTGCAGAAGGAGGATGGGGCGATCTACTCCTATAAAGAATTACAGCCTCAGAAACCCAATGGGGGTTGCTATGAGTCGGAACCAAATCGATGGCAGTGAATTTGGTTTTATGTTGTTGTTAAGGGGCTTTGGTGGTGCAATGCCTAAGGCATCTGACTGCTAACTAGAATGTTGGCAGTTCAAACCTACCAGATGGGGCAAAGATCTACTTCCAAAGATCTACTGCCTTGGAAATCCCCATTGGGGGTCACTATGACTCAAAATCAACTCAATGGCAGTGAGTTATTTATTTTTTTAATGTTGTTGTTAAATGCAATCAGATCAATTCCATTTCACAGCAACCTAGAAAATGCAACAAACAACAAAATGAAACACTGCCTGGTCCTGCACTATCCTCACAATCCTTGCTATATGGGATCAAATTGACCATAGCAACTCAAAAGATTAGCTAGGAATCCTACCGGATTTTATTAATGGGGGAGAAACAATTTAGAAAAAGAAGGTAAGAATGGTTGCACAACTGGAAGAATGTAATCAATGTCATTAAATTGTACATGAAGAAACTTGAATTGGTATATGTTTTTGTTGTGTTATGTTCTCAATGACAAAATAAATAATTTTTTTTAATTCTCATACTTCCAATATATTGAATCGACTCAATGGCAATGAGTTTGGTTTGGTCCAATAAATCAGTTTGATAATTAGAGAATACAAAATCAATTTCTTATGTAACAAGATTAGGTAATGAGGATATCTAGGAGATAATTACCATCCTATTTATTTCCTAAGAAAGCAAAGTAAAAACAATCTATACTGGAAAAGTGACTTTTATTCCTGTCTACTGAATAGTTTTATTTTTACTAATTGATTTCCTTTCAATGAACATGGGGCAAATTTTCACCCCAAGAGGAAATATTTTACCTCAAGAGGAAATATTAATACCTGCTGTTTCTCAAATCTAACAACTGTAAATGTAGAAAGAAACAGACTTAAGGGAGTAATACAATTTTGTTATGATTCTAATTCTACTAAGATTCTATCCTTTAACTCTCCATTGAAAGTTACCTTCATTATTCCAGCTTAAAGTTACTTATATATTCTAAGTAAGTAAAAACATTTATACACACACACACACACACACATATACATACACATATGTATACACACACATATACACATATCTACACACACACACATGCGCGTCCTAAATCAATGGGCTCAGTACTATGGTTGTGCAGGACATAAAGCTCAATTGGCATACTATACAAAAACAATGTTCTACATCCTATTTTGGTGAGTAGCAACTGCAGTCTTCAAAGTTTACAAGTGGCCATCTAAGATGCAACAATTGGTATCTCCTCCTCTGGAGCAAAGAAGAATGAAGAAAATCAAAGATGCATGGAAACAATTAGTCCAAGGGACTAGCAGAAATGCAAACCTCAACCTATATGACCCTGAGACCAGAACTAGTTTGTGCCTGGCTACCACTGTCAATGGATTAAAACAGGAGATCCTAGATAGAGTGGCAGAACAATGTGGAACAAAACTCAAAATAATAAAATTTAAGACCAACAAGGCTTACTGGTCTGCTAGAGACTAATGAAACCTCCAAGACAATGGCCCTTAGTCACCCTTCGGGTCTGGAACTGAACTCACTCCTGGGGCTTTTAGCCAAACAATGGACAGGCCTACAAGGTTAACAATTACACCAGGTAGGTACACTCCTTAGAACAATTGACCAAGGCCAGAAAGGCAGCATTTTCACAGGGAGAAAGTTCAGACGGCAGGAATGCACAGGAAAGGACACAGGGAAAAGGTAATTAACCACAGGGACAAAGTGGGAAGAGAGCTGTTTCATTATGGGGACTGCAATCATGTCATGAAACAAAATATATATGAACTATTGAACAAATTTACTTGCTCTGGAAACTTTTACCCAAACCGTAACTACAAAAAAAAAATAAGAGTCCTAAATACTTTCAGGAAGAATCTTGTTTTCTAAGCTCTTTTAAAGAAGATTAGAAAATATTTTAGACAAAGAGGTATAAAGCATAAAATTACCACAGTTGAGTTTTAGACTTAAAGAATCCAAATACCTTCCTCAGATATTTGTAAATATATACTTTTGTACCTAATAAATGTATCTTTCACATCACTGATTACTTGAAGGTTTTTGAACAACTTAAAAAAAAAAATTTATGAGACAATTGGGGGGAAAAAAGTGGTCCTAGTAATGATAATGACGCTTGTAAAGAATTTGGATAAAATTGTTTCATGAAATATGAATGAAAAAAGCAATTATTTCTAAATTAAAATCTTATTTTATGAAACCTTAAACATGTATGTGTAACTATAAATTATTAAATATTTTAAGAGGTTACTTGACTATTTTTGCTATATTCCCTAAAGCTTATATATTCCTGCTAGTAAAAAAACCTTTTTTCCTTAATATTCTTATCAGGAAAATGAGGAATTCCTTATATTTGAGATCACATCATACTAGTTAATTCCTTTTCCCAAAGACTAGCTAACTCAAAAATCCATAAACTGTTGCTGTTAAATCAATTCTGACTCATAGCTACCCTATAGGACAGAATAGAACTATCCCATAAGGCTTCCAAGGCTGTAAATCTTTATGGAAGCAGACTGCCTCATCTTTCTCCCAGTGAGTAGCTGGTGTGTTAGAACTGCCCACCTTTTGAAGAGCAGCTTAACCACTGTACTACCAAGGATCCTTGAATTAGAAATAGTACCCTAATTACGCAAAAATGCAAGCTGATATACTAGAGATCAGGAATGAGAAAATCTAGATCGTAGTCCTTGTTCTTCTATTTATTGTCTGTCTGACCTTAAAGTTACTTAACCTCTTTTAGGCTAAGTTTCTTCTGCTATAAAATGGGAGTATCATCTGTCTACCTCACAAGGCTATTATGAAGGCCAAATGCGTATTATGAAATGGTAAGTCAAAGCACTATGCAACTTATACCAACTTATATTCAAAATATAAAATAGCACCATTATTATTAATAAAATTGCTAAAAATGCATTTATGTGTTTGTCAATGTTTTGATAATCAAATAACAGACATAGTTTCTTTTCCTACAAAATTTTATATATAATTTCAAGGAATTCAGAGCCCTGGAGCAGTAATTCTCAAATGGCTCACAGAGAATCACTTTACACAATCAAAAATGTTACTAATAAATGAGAGCATATTGTAAATGTAATCCCTATAGAGCTCCCCTACCCAAAAAAAAAAGGTTGAGAATCACAGCTCTAGCAAGTTATGCCCCCAGTGAGAATTTTATGAGATTTTGAAGGAATAAAATAAATCCTAGCTAAATAAAAATAAGGTGGCATGGGAGAAAAAGGGGCAATAAAAATGCTTAGCTTCATAGGTTCTCATGCTAAGCTTGAGAAGTAGACAAAAGATTCAAGAGCAATGGTGATCCAGAAAGAGAGTGGAGCAGTGCCAAGTAATACATACACACACACACACACACACAAGAAAGGATTATTTCTAAATTAAACGTTCCTAAGTTAGGAGCTGGTAGTTTATTTGCATCTGGGTAATGTAAATGATTAACATGCTTGGCTGCTAATAGAAAGGCTAGAGAGACCCCTCAGAAGAAAGGCCTGCTATCTACTTCCAAAAAATCAGCCATTGAAAATCCAATGGAGCACAGTTCTTTCTAATCTGACACACATGGGATTGTCATGAGTCAGAGACATTTTTTTTTTTTAATAAACTTTGTCTTTTTGAGTCATCCCTTTATCCAGATAAGCAAAACAGAGTTCCCAAAGTAGGAACAAAATGCCTGTTACTAACCTGGCTCTAAACCTCAAAACACTAAAACCAAAAAACCGAACCCAATGTTAGCTAATTGATTCCAACTTTTGGCAACCCTATAGAATAGGACAGAATTGCCCCATAGGGTTTTGTTACTGAAACTGATTGCCACTCTTTCTCCTGTGGAGCATCTGGTGGGTTTGAACTACTCACCTTTTGGTTTGCAGCCGAGTGCTTAACCACTGTACCACCAGACCCCCAGGATACCACATGTGACAGAGTAGAACAGCCCCATAGGGTTTTCTTGGCTGTAATCTTTACATGAGCAGATCACCAGGTCTTTCTCCACCTGCTGGCAGGTTCCAATAAATCACCTTTTCTGTTAGCAGCCAAGTGCTTAACAGTTGTGCCACCAGAGCTCCTTCAATTTAGCTATACAAGGCCCAAATCTAGCTTTCCAGTAACTAATGACTTTCTGGAACTCAATTTACTATGATCATTTATATTTAATGTGGCCATCACAGTAACTTTACTCATTGCCTAGTCTTAGAAAGGGAGTTCTGGCGGCATAGTGCCTAAGGCATTGGCCTGCTAAGTTGCAGATAAAAATTGGTTTTGAAAAATAAATGTTCTCTTTGGTAGCACAGTGCCTAAGGTGTTTGATTGCTAACCAGAAGGCTGGTAGTTCAAACCCACCAGCCACTCCTCAGAAGGAAGACTGGGCAATTTACTTCCATAGAGATACTGCCTTGGAAACCCAAGGAGGGGTCACTACGAGTCAGATTTGACTTGACAGCAGTGAGTTTGGTTTTGTTTCAGTCTTAGAAAATCAGAAGAGAAAGCACTCTGTACATAAGAAAGATTTTACAGATGGCTTGCTACCATTAAAGACTTACTACAGGGATTGCAACAAATGTCACAAAACATGTATGAATTATTGAATGGAAAACCAATTTGCTCTGTAAACTTTCACCCAAATCACAATTTAAAAAGACTTAATACCAACTTTGAGCATACAAACATAAGTTTATTAAGAAAAAGAACTGATAACATTATCTGACTAATGTTAAGAATATTTTCTCATCAATATGCAAAATCTAAAAAAAGATCAAATCAAAAGATGCCGTTTTTTTATATTTATTTCTATAGCAAAGTCATCATAAGCCATTTGACTTTGCATGTGTTCATTTATATATTGAGATTTTGCTGTCTAGGACTAAAGCCAAAACCAAAAAAAAAACAAAAACAAAAACTCACTGCCACTGAGTCCGATCCAATTCATAGTGACCTCTTCTTGGGTTTCCGAGGCAGTATCACTAAGGAAAGAGATTGCCCAATCTTCCTTCGAAGGAGTGGCTGGTGGGTTTGAACTACCAGCCTTCTGGTTAGCAATCAAACACCTTAGGCACTGTGCTACCAAAGAGAACATTTATTTTTCAAAACCAATTTTTATCTGCAACTTACTTCAAATGTGCGTATGCACATGCTCACACACACACACACACACAAAGATGTATGGGGGATGATTAGATGTGTGATAAAGTAAGTACGGTAAAAATATTAATCACGGAATCTAGCTGGTGGTATATGAATGTTCACTGTAAAGTTCTTTCAACTTTTCTGTACGTTTGAAAATTTTATAATAAGTTGAGGAAAAAAATCAACTTTCAGAAGTTTTGATACGACTTTTAGATCAAAGAAGTCTTGTTGTTGTTGTTGTTGTTATTTGCCCTCCAGTCGGCCCAACTCATAGCGACCCCTCCTTGGGTTTCCGAGGCAGTTATCACTACGGAAGTAGGAATGCCCAACCTTCCTTCCGAGGAGTGGCTGGTGTCTTACAAGCACAAAATTTCACCCTATTTCAATATTCCTACCACTATAAAGCAGTAGGACCCAAAGACATTAAATAGAAATACCAGTGTCTTAGGACTCTACAAAGCAGATGAACTGAGATAAGTTGTTCTCCAGAGTACACAAATATGCAGGTATCTGGATCATGCCAAGATTCAAATAATTCAGAAACAGATGCATACTTAAACAGGACACAACTGTTTCAATGTACACATATATCAAAATAACATAAAAGATCTACTTTTCACTCAATACCTAAGGCTTTACCATCCTTCAGTTACTGATGAGTTAAAAATACTAAGTTTCAAGAACCTTTTAACAAGCAAGGTTTTTTTGTAACAGTTACCTACATTTGGTTTATATAATACAAGGCTTTAATTTTGCTATTAAAATTATATGCTCTAAAATACAAATAGGAGCTCTGGTAGCGTAGTGCCTAAAGGCACTTGACTGCTAACCAGAAGGCTACCGGTTAAAACCCACAAGCCACTCCTCCTAAGGAACATGGGGCAATCTACTTCAGTAGGGATACTGCCTCGGAAACCCAAGGAGGGGCCGCTATGAGTCGGTGGACTCCACGGCACATAACAACAACAAAAACAAAATACAACAAAGTATATGTGAACTGCTGTATGAAAAGTGAATTTACTCTGTAAATCTTCACCCAAATCCCAATAAAAAAAAAAATATACAAATACTTCTAGTGCATAAAAGGAAAAGGAGTTTAAAAGTAACTATCCAAACATTAAGCCTCTTTAAAAAGAAGTTTTTGGAAATTTTGTGTCTAACACAAAAGTTCTATGAAGCAAATGTTTCAGTGGTTTAAAACCCAAGCCTGAATCCCCACTACCATCCAAGCTCTCACATAAAAAACTGTCAAAAGAACTTACTATGACTGCCTCCAAATTACAGTCATTCTCAAAAGTGTTAGGAAAATGCTTCAAAACAAATTATTAATCTATTGGCAAAATAAAATAAAATAATGAGAACATCCTTCAAAAGATTGAAGGGTATAAGGTGCAACCCCCAAAAATATATTACTAGCTTGTTTGGAATAGAAGAATTACTTCTATTTCATGAATGTCCACAAATAGGTAGTGATAAAGCAAGATTTAGCGGAGTCAGCAGTTTTCTGTTTTGTCCGATTCTCACCTACATTAATTTTTTCCATCTCTACAATGGACTTGACGGTACATAACAACAACAATGGATGAGAACACAAAGATAGTGTATCTGAAGGCAATGGAACAGGTTCCAGCACACGACCCACTCCTTTTAATTCCTTCTCCAGTGAGACATCTGATTATGATAAACCACATACACATTTTCTTCGCCTGAACAGTAAATTCCTTGAAGACAGAAGTCCTGCCTTCTGGTGGTTCACTAGGATCTTTCCATGCTCTCAACACAGCGTGCCCTCAATCGCAGTGACAAATGGATACAAGCAAGTTCTATAATAGTCTGAGTTTTAAGGAACAAAAATTTCAAATTAGCTTTAGAAGTTACGCCTCCTCGCTCTATCCCATTTGCCTGATTCGAACCAACAAAAGAAAAACTCCTGAACACCAATCGATTTGGATTTCGAATTATCAATGGCTCGTCAAACACTGGGAATGAGAGACGAGATGAATACAGAAGAAAAGTAATTCCCCTCAAAAGAGGCCTATGCTGCTGAACCTGTACGCTCACGGAACCGGCTGGACATTAGCGCCGATGTCCGAAGCGCGGAGCCCAGGGGACATCCACGACAAGGTTCTCGCGGAGCCAAGACCCCGGCCCCGTCCGAGGAGCCGGGTCCTGGCAGAGGAGAGAGTCCAGTTGGTCGGGATGTGAGATGGGCGCAACGCCAGAGGGAGTGAAGGCCAAGAACATGAGGGGCTAGGCCATACTGCTCTCCAAGCCCTTAGGTAGCTCCCGGCTCAAGGCCCTCGGGGCGCGGCCCCCCTGGCCCCAGTACCAGGCCGTCTGGCAGGAAGAGACGAGCGAGGCGCGGACCCCGAGAGTTTGGGCCCGGCTTGAATCTTACCATGGTGAGAGCGGTGGTGAGGCGCACCCGCGCTCCGGCTCCACTGGGGCTAGGCACTGGGGTCAGGGGAAGGGGAGCACCGGCCGCTCTGGACCTGCTGCCCCCCTGACAGGCGCCGGTGCCGCTTCGCCTCTTGCCAAGATGGCGGTCCGGAGCCACGTCTCCAACCGGAAACCGCGCGGGTCAAAGGGCGGAGGGCGGGGCGTGGTGGGATAGGGAAATCGTGGGTTTCTGCCTGAGCCTCCTACGGGCTGGGTATGTTTGAGGGGCTCGCCCCCAGCTGTGGTAACTTACACCTCCGCCCTTCGGTGTTTTTCACTGCCTTCATTTAATTTGAGTCACTTCTTACAGTTTCTAAAGCAGCTTTCACAGATAGTATGTTGTTGTTGTTATGTGCCGTGAGTCGTACCCGACTCATAGGGACCCCTCCCTGGGTTTCCAAGGCAGTATCACTACGGAAGTAGATTGCCCCATCTTCCTTCCGAGGAGTGGCTGGTGGGTTTGAACCACTAGCCTTCTGGTTAGCAGTCAAGTACCTAGGCACTATGCTACCAGAGCTCCCACAGATAATATATAAAATATATAATGTAATATTCAAAATAACCCATGTGCATAAAGAATTCTTATAACTCAACAATAAGGTAAATAACGAAATTTAAAAATTGGCGAAGGATTTGAATAGACAATTCTTCAAAGAAGATATAAAATGGCCAATAAGCACATGAAAAGGTGATCCATGTCTGTAGTCATTAAGCCAAAAAAAAACCAAACCATTGCCATACAGTCAATTCTAACTCATCAAGTCAATTCTAACTCATAGAGACCCTATAGGAGAGGGTAGCACTGTCCCATAGGGTTTCCAAGGCTGTAAATCTTTACTGAAGCAGACTGCCTTATCTTTCTCTCACAAAGGGGCTGGTTGTGACCTGTTGTTGACAGCTGAATGTTTTAACCACTGAACCATCAGAGCTCCTATAAGTCATTGTTAGGTGCCATCTAGTCCACTCCCACTCACAGCTTTCCTAACCACATCAGAATGAAACACTACCAGGTCTTCTGTAGTTGTTGTTGTTGTTGTTATGTGCCATCCAGTCGGACCCGACTCATAGCGAGCCCTCCTTGGGTTTCCGAGGCAGTATCACTATGGAAGTAGATTGCCCCATCTTCCTTCCGTGGAGTGGCTGGTGGGTTTGAACCGCCAGCCTTCTGGTTAGCAGTCAAGTGCCTTAGGCACTATGCTACCAGAGCTCCTGTAGTTGTTAGTGAAATGTAAATCAAATCCACAATGGGATATCACTTCACCGCTACTAGGATGGTTAGTGGTGTAGTGCCTAAGGCATTTGACTGCTAACCAGAAGGTCGGCGGTTCAAACCCACCAGCTGCCCTGACGGACAATGAGGCAATAGTCTTTCATAAAGATTTACCACTTTGGAACCCCAATAGGGATCACTATGAATTGGAATCAACTGGATGGCAATGGGTGTGGATTTTTATATAATGAAACCAGGACTCAAACTCAATTTTTTTACTGTCTTGTTTGTTCTCCTATGCCAAATTTCAGCGTATATTTGATTCAACACTTCTTCCGTATTTTATCCCATATCTCAACCCTAAAAAGAGCTCTGGTGACATAGCAGTTAAAGCATTCAGCTGCTAACCTAAAGGTTGGCAGATTCTCCACAGGTGAAAGATGAGGCAGTCCTCGTCCATAAAAATTTACAACCTTGGAAACTCTGTGGGCAGTTATACTCTGTCTTAAAGGGTCACTGTGAGTCAGCATCGACTTGATGGCAGTGGGTTTTATCAATCCTAAAGCATTCACCCATGTAAAACCTCTACATCTGCAATAGAGCATAACAACAATCTTTTATTGAGTGCTAACACACTCAGCTACTAACTCAAAGATTGGGGGTTAGATTCTACCCAGAGACCCCTCAAAAACAAAAGTCCTTGTGATACATTTCCAAAAAGAATCAGGCATTGAAAACCCTATGAAGCACAGTCCTACTGTGATACACACAGAGTTGACTGATATGTCACACATGTTATCTTTAATCCTTTACAACAATCCCTGTAAAGACACTGAGGATCATAGAAGGTAAACAAGTTGCCCAAACTTACACAGCCACTAAATGGTAAAACAGGATTCAAACCTAGTTTTTCCCATTATAACATATTGCCTTTCTGTATTTCCTGTGTATTCCTTAATGTTTATTGAACACTTATAATGTGTTAGGCATTATTCTAAATTCTTCACACAGATCATCTCATTTAATCCTCACAAGAATTCTCTTAGTGTGTTAGACTGGTTTCTCTAGAGAAACACCACCAGTAAAGCTTATATAGAGAGAGAAAGAGAAATTTATCTTAGGAAAATGGCTCACACACTTACAGAAGCTGGCAAGTCCAAAGTTCTTGGATCAAATGTCAAGCTGGAGGCTTTTCCTGACTCACACAGCTGCAGGGGCTGAGGAGTTCAAGGCTGGTGGGCAGTACACTGGCTGTTGACTCCAACGAATGATGAATCCAAGATCTCCAGGCCGAATGGTGGATTGTTTGCTCACACACAGTTGTAAGCAGCACAACAGAATCCTGATCCACAGAAGAGTGTCTCTTTTCCAAATATGTCCATAAATATACTGGAAGCAGACCACACCCCTAGGGAAACTCCCTTTCAACGGATTGGCTGCTCAAAACATATTCATCTGATCCCATCATGGGAATAACCACATCACAACTGCTTAAACCACACAGAATTGTGGTCTAGCCAAGTTGACACACAACTCCAACTATCACACTTAGATACCTTCAAAAAGGGCATGGGGGCAGCATCCTCTGAACTTCTTCAACATCAAAGGGGAAACAATCACCATCAACAGCCCAAGGCTTATTCCTGTGAGGCCAGACATGCTACCCCCTTCCAGTCTTTTTCACAAATTCTGACACCAACCATCCCTCCCAAAGTACTCACTACTTCTCTGCTGGGTTCAATAATGTGTTGCAATGGTCACATAGAACTCACAAACTATATTCTTGAGTATGGGGTTTATTAGGAAAGGAACAGGCTCCAATTCAGGTTCAGGAATGAACCAGGATACAATTCTTCATCAGGACAGTCTCCCCTTTGCTATGCCTTCATGCATCCCTCTCTGGCCCTTGGCCTTTCATCTTGGCTTGCCTGCTCAGGCAAGTGTTATAAAGTGCCAGCAGGCCCGCCGCTCTATCTTGTGCCTCTTGGTATTTCTGCTGATCATCTCTGCTGGCATCTCTGCTGTCTTTCTGCCAAAGAAGTCCAGTGCAGGGATCTCAGGTCCAAGGGTGAGCTCCACTCCACCTCCGGCTCTTCTCTCTGGATGGCAGTGAGATCCCCAGTTCTGCCTCTAGGAAGGCTCATTGTAAACCTAACAGAATGACAAAACTAACCAACCCTCACACTAGAGTTCCATACACCTAATTTTCACGGTCCCTTCCCCACAAAGGTGCCATGTACCTTATTTACATGACTCAAGCTATCCAATTCCTTTGGTAGGCCATTTGCACAGTTCTACCCAGTCATCTGGTGGGAGTCACAAAGATGGCTAGAAAATCCATACTGCACCACAATACCAATGGCTATCAAGTTGGTTCTAACTCATCATGACCCATGTGTGTCACAGTAAAAATGTGCTCCATAGGGATTTCATGCTTGAATTTTAATTTTAGATCTCAGAGTTCCAGTAAGATGGCAGAATAGGCAGACAGACTGCACAGACCCTCTTCAACAAAGGAAAAAAAACAGAAAGCAAACTCACTGCTTTTTAGTCAGATCCGTCTCATAGCTACCTCTCCTTGGGTTTCCCAGGTGGTACCACTATGGAAGTAGATTGCCCAACCAATTAACACAGATACAGAAGATAATCCTGGAGCCCTGAACTTTGAAGGGAAGGATATAGAAGTGGATTAAACTCCAACTAGTAGAAGAACTTGCATGAAAGCACCAAAAAAGAGACATATGGAATGGCGGTCTATCAGCAATCCTGATGGCACAGACAGCTTGGATATTGCCAAGTGGTGTTAAGACCTAAGAATTAACCCCAAAATTGGTCCTGCTAGCCAGGGGCTGCATGGAGGACTGCACTGGTGGCTGGTGAATAAAAGGGGAAGCAGCAAAGAGGAAGATGGGCTGAGCTGTGGACTTTCGCCTGTCTGGAGGACGCAGCCATTCTGAATGTTTTCAAGCGTTCCACCATTTTGGATATTTAAAGCAACAGCGTTCTTCCAGATTCCAAGGACTTAAGAATAGGCTCAGGCACTCTAGTGCCATAGTGCCTAAGGCATTTGATTGCTAACTAGAAGGCTGGCAGTTCAAACCCACCAGCCATTCCTTGGAAGGAAGGTTGGGCAATTTACTTCCATAGAGATACTGCCTCAGAAACCCAAGGAGGGGTTGCTATGAGTCATATCCGACTCGAAGGCAGTGCACTGTGTGTTGCATTTTAAGAATAGGCTCTACTTGCTGGGAACCACAGGGACATTCCGGACGGCAATGACCGACCGGAAAGGTGCGATATTCCCCTTGTTAATCTGATATCCCACACCCTCTTGGTGAACGGAGGTGTAGCCATCCCTTATGCCGATTGACCTTCTGGGCCAACAGGAATTCCATCCCAATCTGTGTATCTGGATGGAGCCTGGATGCCCTGCCCCACCCTGCCCAGAATT